CCCTCCCTGTCTCTGCTGTCCCCTTCACCCATGGACCCAAGGTCCCCTTGCCCCCAGTTTACTGAGGAGACCTTGTCTTTTTCTCCTTCTCATGTAGTTTAGATTTATGTATGTCTCTTTTAGGGTACTCATTTTTGTCTAGGGTCTCTGAGATTGTGATTTGTGGGCTTGTTTCTTTGCTTTATGTTTAAAAATCACTTACGAGTGAGTATATATTATAATTGTCTCTCCGGATCTAGGTTACCTCACTCAAAATGATTTCTAGGTTCATCCCTTTGCCTGCAAATTTTAAGATTTCATTATTTTTTCTGCTGTGTAGTATGCTATTGTGTAAATATACCACATTTTCCTTATCCATTCTTCAGTGGAGGGACATGTAGGTTGTTTCCAGGTTCTGGATACATCAAACAATGCTGCTATAAATATATCTAAGCACATGTCCTTGTGGCACTTTGAGCATTCTTTGGATATATACCCAAAAGTGGTATTACTTGGTCTTGAGAAAGATTATTTCCTAATTTTCTGAGAAATCACCACACTGATATCCAAAGGGGTTTTACGATCTTGCACTTCCACCAGAAATGCAAAACTGTTCCCTTTACCCCATAACATCTACAGCATAAGTTGTCATTAGTGTTTTTGATCTTAGCCATCCTTACAGGAGTAAGGTGGAATCTCAGAGTTGTTTTGATTTGTATTTCTCTGATGACTAAGGATGTTGAGCATTTCCTTAAGTGTCTTTCAGCCATTTTAGGTATCTTTGTTGAGAGTTCTCTGTTTAGGTCAGTACCTCATTTTTATGGGATTATTTGTTCTTTTGATGAAATATTATTGAGTTCTTTGTATAGTTTAGAGATCAGTCCTCTGTCTTATGTGGGGTTAGTGAAGAGATGAAATGACAGAAACTTCTTTTTTAGTCATAATTCCTTTGTTACAAATATTTCCTTGTAGATAATGTTTTTTTTAGTCACTAATAGATTCATAAAGATATAGATATTCAGCTTTTATATTAAATTAGAGGGATCTAAACCTAGATTCTACTTATTAAGTGATTTTGTGCCGGCAGTGATAGTGGAAGCCTTTATTTCTAAAAGATGTAAGCTATCAAAAAGGTTAAAGAAGCCGGGCGGTGGTGGCGCACGCCTTTAATTCCAGCACTTGGGAGACAGAGGCAGGTGGATCTCTGTGAGTTCGAGACCAGCCTGGTCTACAAGAGCTAGTTCCAGGACAGGCTCCAAAACCACAGAGAAACCCTGTCTCGAAAAAAAAAAAAAAAAAAGGTCAAAGAAGAATGTATAGTTGAATAATGGGTCAAAATACACACATATTTAAATCTTTATCAGAAGTTACAGATAAAACATGCGTGAATAAATACAACATATATATATATATATGCTGAAATAACACAGTTATATACTATGAACATATTAAAATATAACAGTATAGACATAAAATCTATTAGTTGTATTATTGAAAATTATCACACCAAAGAAAGCTCCAGGTTTTGAATTCACTTGTAAATTATAATAAAGTATTTAACAAGGACATATGTTCAACTATGTTTATAGCAGCGTTGCTTGACATAGCCAGAACCTGGAAACAATCTAAATGCCCCTCAACCAAAGAATGGATAAAGAAAATGTGGTACATTTACACAATAGAGTAATACACAGCAGAAAAAAAATAACAAAATCTTGAAAATTTTCAGGAAAATGAATGGAACTAGAAAACATCCTTTTGAGTAAGGTAACTCAGACCCAGAAAAACAATTATCACAAGTACTGACTCAAGTGGTTTTTAAACATAAAGCAAAGAAAACCATTCCGCAAATCACAATTGCAGAGAACCTAGACAACAACCTAGAGGACCCTAAGAAAGACATACATAGATCTAATCTATGTGGGAAGTAGAAAAAGACAAGAATTCCTGAGTAAATTGAGAGCATGGGGACCTTGGGAGAGGGTGGAAGGGAAGGGAAGTGTTATGGAGAGGAGTAGAGAAAAATGTAGAGCTCAGTAAAAGTCAATAAAAAATTAAAAATAAAAAAAGTAAAGAAAGAAACATCATTGCTCTGGACCAGCCCAACCCTATATAGATTATGGACAGGGTTCTGAGGTTTTACACACATATCATAAAGAAATACAAAGTTATAGAGAAAAAAGTCTGTCAAAAACTGGGGTAAGAAGTTTGCAAGTGATAATGACCCAAGTCAACAAAATTATTAATGGCACAGATCTTTTTGTAAGTCTTGAAAGTAGAAGAAGAGCATTAGACAGCAACATTACACAAAACTCGAAGTATAAGTTCCCCTTAGTAAAGTACATTCTGCAAAGACAAACAAATATTATATTTTAGTTAAATTTATTCTGCTTTTTTTCCTCCTATATCCTCCCTGCTACCTTCAAATTCATGACATCTTTTTTTTTCATTAATTATTATTGTATGCATACATGCATTGGTATATACATATATATTCTGCTGCATGAATACGATGATTTTTTTCTATGCAGTGTAGAGATCGTTTCCTTGATAATGGTAAAAACTACATTTATCTATGGGTATAACAAAAATTGTTAACAAGTTGGTATTAGGGCTTTTTCTGGTTTAGCAAATTAATGTTTGTCCTTCAATAACTATGACTGCACTAGCATTGAGTACTTACCTAGGTTTCTATTATGAGGTATGGCATCTCTCTTGTTGAGCAGGTTTTAAGTCTAATCAGCAAACTATTGGTAACTGCTAAATTATGTGTACCCCATAAGATTTATAGCATGCTAGTCACTGATGTGGTCCACAGGTGTCATACCTCTGTTTGACTGTTGATTATAACACTTCTTTGGATGCTTTCATGTCAACTTCTAGAGCTATGAAGTCTTGTTCTTAATTTTAGAGCCAAATCTAGTCCTTCATTATTAAAAGGTGACCTACACATTCTGCCATTAGAAGTTACCAAACCAGAAGAAAGCATTCTACCACATGTACGTAAGATGTGATAAAACAGGATTCAAGATCTCACCTTCACATATGTACAAACACACAGACACACACATACATACACACACACACTAACAAACCTCTAAAATATATGTGCATACTTATCACATTATCTTCCTAATTCATGAAGAAAAGACATGAAAAATTTCAACAACCATCTCTAAAATATATTCCTTAGTAATATATGGTCACATTCTAGTCACTCTAAAAGGTATAAAAGCAAGCTGTTCATCAATAATAATTGTTAGCAAAATAAATCCCTTGGATCAAGAATAGACAACATACCATATTCAGTTGTGTACATGAAGTTTTAATCAGTGCTATGAGTCTGTATTAATTATTGTTGTCATTATTGTAAACAAATAAAATCATTATTAATAATTAATAATAATAACAATAGCATTTTGGGTTAAAAGTTAAGGGAAGTAGGTCCTTTAAAGAAGGCATAATTGCAGGAATGTGTATCTCAAATTCACAACAGGATTACAGTCAGGACAAAAGCAGAGAGCAATGAATGCTGTTGCTTAGCTGGATTTCTCTATTTAGGCTAACATAGTATATATTCATTGTTCTACTAGCGTAGTCTAGAAGAGGCCTCACAGACATGCTTAGAGATTGGTCTCAAAAGGTGATGAAAAATGGAATATATTTAACAAGATTAACCACAAAAGAAATTATTGGCATAAGTAAAAGAGAAAGCTCCTTTATTTTCACATACAAATACTAATGAGCACATAAAATATGAACTAATAAGTTAATTAAGAAAATTCTAAAGATGTCTGATATCTTTATGTAAAAAGTTCAAAATAATCAGAAATTAAAAACTAAAATCAAATTATATTAATCGGCCAAATTCTAAGTAAAGGAATCCAGATGTGACTTCCAATATTGAGGATAAGAGGCTGTTGAAATTCCCAGGAGACTAAGTCAATTGAGCATTACTACATTGACATTGAGTAACATATGAAAAGATGCTATGGAAAACCAAAGATGATAAGAAAGCTTGATTTGGGAAAAGTAGCAAAATACATACCAGTCATTTATAGATTATCCTATAGTTAGAAAAGACTATAGCATGCATCCGTCATTGATTCTTGGAGCCATAAGTGGGTACATGCATCTTGGTGTAGAGAGAAAGATTTCAAAAAAAGATTTACCAGTGCATTTGGGTCATCCAAAGAGAAAAATAATCTTTAAGAATAATTCCAGGTCAAAACTAGAAATCAAAAGCCAGAATAACAAAGGAAAACTGAAAGTTCTCTTTGACTAAAAGAACAGTGGTTGTGAACTCAGAAATCCTTTATGTTCTCTACAATAAAGAAAAGGGCAGTTTAGACATGACCTCAGACATTAGGTCAAGCAAAAACTGAAGACAAGTGTTATTTGTAACCTCCAATGCAGAAAAATGCATGTCAGTTACTATATTTTCATAAGACCTTTCACCTGCATCAACAATGAGCTCTGTTCATAATCACAGGTCAAGACACAAAGAGAAAGAACAAGAAATTGTGAATACATTGAATGTACTCAGTCTTCCAATACCAAGGACATCTTCATCAGTGTTTGGTATAGAGAAAGCATGGGAAAACACAGTATAAGAACTTTAACATTTATGAACAGAATCATGTGTGTTTAAAACTGTGTATAAATTTTGAAATAAATTTTAAAACTTCTTTGTAATAATTTAACAAGATTTTAAATTAGATAAAATATTTAATTAAAATTTGATATTCTAAAAATTATAAATTAGAAAATAAATCTCAAAATAGCTTATAAATATAAAATAGTTTTTAAAATTTAAGAATTAAATCAAACAGCAAATCATTGATTAAAATAGTCTTCTGAACTGTTCTCTATAACACTCATGCTGTGTCCTCTGCCTAGGTTTGTACATCAGAATATTGTTATAATACTCTACTCTGCTCAGATCTTGCCAAATATTTAAGTATCTGTCATCAAATAAACATTCTACTTGTGACCAGGGATCCACCTTTGTGTCTCCACAGGGCCCACAGTTGGCACCATGAAGATTCTTAGGAGACCCCAACACTCCGTTGGCTACAGGAAGCAGATGAATAGACCACCATGAACAAATGGACCTGAAAAAGTGTCTAGGAAACACCTGAACAATGTTGACCAGTTTCATTTTATCCAAAAAATATGGTGTCTTGGAACGTTGAGTTGTTCAGGAGAGGTTCAGATGCCTGGAAAAGTGTATGGCAGCTCTGCTTACCTGCTATAAGCTCCTCCCAAATCTGGGAAGCATTTAAAGGTCATCTCAATATTCCAGTCACTAAAGCAGCTCTAGTCTATTAACTAGTTTTATTTCTTAAATTATTAATTTAATCTATTTACTTCTTAAATTATTAATTTAATCTGAATTGTGCAATTAAGTATCTTTAACATTTTGTGGTATGACAAACCAAACTGATTAAACAGAATGCAGCCATTCCTTGGAGTCATAGCTCCTTTCAAATGCCAGAAGCCCTACCATGTGAGTCGGAGACAAGATCTGATCTAAGATATTTCAGCTTTGCTAGTGATAAACGTAAAGATCGGTATATACAATTTTCTAAATTGAAAAAATGAAGGAATATTTGTTACTGTGTTACTATATAGGACTAATTTATGTTCCCTTCTTTCTGTGGTAGAGATGAAAGCATGTATGTGTGTGTGTGTGTGTTTGTGTGCATGCACAAATGAGAAAGAGAAAGAGAAAGAGAAAAAATATTAGAAGAAAATAATTTTGCTATTCACCCAGATGTCAATATTTCTGAATTTTGTTTGTGAAGCCCTATGGAGAGCTTTAAAGTAGATTAAAGGCAAGCTAAATAGAGCTCCTACTTGAGAGACTGGGATGGGAACACTCAGTGGGAAATAGTGTGTGTTTTTTCTAATCATGAGGGCTTGGATTTGTATTACACGTACCCACAAAAATATGAGTATGGTTTCAGGTGTTTTTAACTTCAGCTGTAATGGGCAAACATAGAGGATCCTGGGAGATCATTGGCTAGTAGTTTAGTTCCAGGTTCAGTGAGAGACCCTGCCTCAAGGGCATAAAATAGAGAGCAACACAATATGATCCCATATTTCTTTTCTAGCTTTCACATGGATTTTTGCTTGCCTTTAAAAATAACAAAAACTGTGTATAAATAGTCTATACATCTGAATAATTATTTATCTAGTAGCATTTATTTAATATTTGTTGTATACCTTAATTAGTTAATGTTATTGTATCTCATTCTTACATCTTTTTTTATTTTTATATTTGCATACATCATTGTTCATTGTATCATTTTATAAACACATTTACTAAATACAACACAGCCTCATTATGATGTTTTAAGAAAATAAATGAATACATATTTAAAAAAAGATAATGGTCATTTCAATTACTTCAATATTTTGGTGTTTTTCAAATCAAATAACTGTGACTATCCACACAAAATTATTTGTGTGTAGTTCTTTATTTTTCTTTCAGTCATACATTTTGTGGTGGTTAATGAAACTAAAAAGGAAAGGGAAGCTTTATGCAAAAGTCATGTAGGGACTGAAGAAATGGCTCAGTGGTTAATGAATACATACAGCTCCAGGAAGGATCCAAGTTTAAAGGCCAGCATCCATATTGGGTGGCTCTAAGTCCAGCTCAAGGTGGATTCATCACAACAGATCTCCATGAATACCCACACATATATGCATAACTACATGCAGACTTGGATGCATACACATAAATAATGCAAAATAAATATTTAAGTCTTTTAATACAGAAGAGAGATAGACACTATTCTTGAAAAAAAAAGAATAGAAACATTTTTAAATGTTTCAGTGAGCCGAAAGCAAAGATCTATAGGCTTCTAGGTCATGAGACCTCAGAATATATTGTATTTGTTCAATTTGTTGGAAGTCTAATCACTCGTTATGATTGGCAAGTGGGGGTAATATGTACTTTGATAACAACATTTTAAAGTGATCACATCCAGGTTCTGGGTAATGATTTCTTATCAGTAAATCATCCCAAAAAGAGAAGATCAGTAGCCTTAGCAAGTAGTCTTTTGGACATTTTCTCATGATTAGGGAAGCATAAAGCACATGGAATCCTCACTCGAGGAAAAGAATAGATGGGTTGTTTAGCAACTTTAGCTTCACCTTTTTGGACTGGATATAACCTATCTTTAAAGAAGCCTTAAAATTTCTCATTCTCATTGACAGTATGGAAGACATGCAGTTTGGCCTCATTCTTATCAATAATTATAATTTCCTACTGCTATGGGCTGAATGCTTTTAACCCTTATAATATCAGATAAATGCTTAATTCCTCTTCTCTTTTTATTTATTCTTCACCCATACAACATATCTAGAGTGCAGTTTTCCCTCACTCTACTCCTCCCATTCACCCACCTTTCTTCTCCCTAGATCCACTGCTCCTCCATTTCCATTCAGGAAAAAGCAGGCCTCCCAAGGATATCAACTGAACATAGCATTCCAAGAAGCAATAATAATAGACACAAATCCTCATAGTAAGGCTGGAGAAGGCAGTGCATAAGGAGGAAAATGGTGCCAAGAGTAGGCAAAAGAGCCAGCGACAGCCCTAACTTCCATTGTTAGGAGTTCCAAGAAAACCCAAGTTAAACAACTGTAGCATACATGCATAGTACTTAGTAAAGACCTAGGCAGGCTCTATGATTGTCACTTCAGTTTCTGTGAGTCCTTATGAATCCTGATTTCTTGATTCCGTGGGCCATTTTATCCTGTTGACCTTGACCCCTCTGGCTCTTACAATCTTTCTTCCCTTTCTTTTGTGGGGTTCCCCAAGCTCCTTCTAGTGTTTGTCTGGGTGTCTCTGCATCTGTTCCCATAATATGCCAGACGAAGCACATCTGATGTTAATTGGACTAGGCAACAACTTTTGAGTATAACAGAATATCTTTAGGAAATAATTTATTAACTTTTATGGGGAGATAGTCATATTTAGATGTACTGTAAGTGTATGGCCTATTGAGATTCTGGTTCCTGACAATCCAGGAAATATAAGGCATGAGCACCTCTCCCTGAATGGACCGCAAATTAGATCACAAGTTCTGAGCCCCAACTGCCACAGTACTTTTTCCTGGTAGGACAAAGGTTTTGCTGCAGGGTGGTATCCCAGTCTTAACACTAGAAGCCTTGCCTGCTTAGAAAAGATAGCCAATGCAGGCTCCATATCCTATTGTACTAAAAATCTTTGCTAGGGTCACCTTCACGGATTCCAGGAAGTTCAACTGCCCTAGGTTTCCAAATTGCCCCATGTGGTGGTTTGAAAGAAAATGATCAGTTCCCCACCTCACCACACCCCCAAACCCACCTGTTCCCCGCGAGCTCCATGGAACCCTGTAACACAGCCTGCTCCAATACTGAGTAGACCTAAGAGATGAGGCGGCATCAGCCACAGGACTAGACAGCCAGATGGCTCACTCTCTAGGACCCCCATGGGGGACAAAACCCAGGGCCCCTACCCAAATCCCTTGGCTTTTCTATACAACCAGCAGGGAGTTATCCTGTTATTCCCCAATTCACCCCACCCCCAAAACTGCCTGTTTCCTGTGAGCTCCATAGAACTCTGCAACACAGCTTGCTCTAATACTGAGGGGACCTAAGAGATAGTCACAGCAAGGATTGGAACAAGATGCCAAAAACTGTGGGCCTCATTTGGAGGAAGAGATGGGTAGGTGACAATGCAAAAATTCCTCCAACATCCTAAAAAACAACATAGTAACACCAAGACCCAGCGAATACACAACAGGAAGACATGATCATCTTAACCCAGAAGTAGTAGAGGAAAACAAATTTAAATGTAACTTTTTTGTTTGTTTTTGTTTTTCGAGACAGGGTTTCTCTGTGGCTTTGGAGCCTGTCCTGGCACTAGCTCTGTAGACCAGGCTGGTTTCGAACTCACAGAGATCCGCCTACCTCTGCCTCCCGAGTACTGGGATTAAAGGCGTGCGCCACCATCGCCCAGCTCTTTAAATGTAACTTTATGAAAATGATGGAGACTTTTACAGAGGAAGTGAAAAACTACAAACAAAAAGGTGGAAGAAATTAATAAATCCCTCAAAGAAACCGAAGAAAATCAAGAAAAAGCAATCAAACAAATGAAGGAAACAGTTCAAGATTTGAAGACTTAAATAGAGATAATAAAGAAAACACAAACAGAGGGAATTTTCTGAATGGAAAATCTGGGTAAACAAACAGGAGCTACAGAGACAAGTGTAACCAACAGAATACAAGAGATAGAAAAAAGAGTCCTGGGCGCTGAATATACTATAAAGGAAATAGACTCATTGGTCAAAAAAAAAAAATTAACTCCAATAAATTATTAACACAAAATATTCAGAAAATCTGGCACACCATGAAAGATTAAAACTAAGAATAATAGCAGTAGAAGGAGAACTCCAGCTCCAAGGCACAGAAAACATATTCAATAAAATTATAGAAGAAAACTATCCCAACCTAAACAAGGATATTCCTATGAAGGTACAAGAAGCTTACAGAACACCAAATAGACTACATAAAAAAATCTCCTAGCAATACAATAATCAAGACACAAAACATACAGAATAAAGAAAGAGTATAAAAAGAGCTGGAAAGGAAAAAGGTCAAATAAAATTTAAAGGTAAATCTATCAGAATTATACCTGACTTCTCAATAGAAAACATGAAAACCACGAGGACTTGGATAGATGTGCTGCAGACACTAAGATACCATGGATGCAAGCCCAGACTACTATACCCAGCAAAACTTTCATTCACCATTGATGGAGAAAAAAAGATATTCAATGACAAAAACTGATTTAAAAAATACATATCCATAAACCCAGCCTTAAAGAAAGTTCTAGAAAAAAAAAAAACCCTCAACCCAAGGAATCTAACTACACCCACAATAACACCGATATATGGTAAACCCCCAAAAGCATAACCCAAAGAAGGGAATCACACAAAACTACCAAAAAAATAACCAGAGTTAATAACCACTAGTCATTAATATCACCTAATAGCAATGGACTCAATTTACCGATAAAAAGCACAGGCTAAGATAAATGATACAAAAACAGGATCCAATATTCTGCTCAACCTCAAACTCAAAGACAGATACTACCTCATAGTAAAGGGTTGGGAAAAGGTTTTCCAATCAAATGGACCTAAGAAACAAGTAGGTGTTGATATGCTAATATCTAACAAAACTGATTTAAAACTAAAATCAATCAGAAGAGATGGAGAAGGACACTATATACTCATATCAGAAACAATTCATCAAGATGAAGTCTCAATCCTGAATGTCTATGCCTGTAATACAAGAGTACCAACATATGTAAAAGACACAGACTAAAACATAAATTGCACATCAAACGCCATACATTAATAGCAGGAGATTTCAACACTTCTCTCTAGAAAATGGACAGGTCAAACAGATAGAAACTTAACAGAAAAATAAGGAAACTAAAAGATGTAATGTATCAAATAAACTTAATAGACATCTATAGAATATACCACCCAAACAAAAAAGAATATACCTTCTTCTCAGCACCTCATGGAAACTTACGTAAAAGTGATCACATACTTGGTCAGAAAGCAAGCATCCACAGATTAAAAAATATATAATTGGATTAACCCATTGTGTCTTATCAGATCACCATGGAGTAAAGTTAGAATTCAACAATACTACTCCCAGAAAGCCTACAAACTCATGGAAACTGAAAAGTCAACTACGGACCCACCCCTGGGTCAAGGAAGAAATAAATAAACCAATTAAAATATTCCTTAAATTCCTGGGCTTTTCCTCATATGTAGACTTTGGTTACTAATCAAGTATATGTTTTTTGTATAGATATGTTAACATTTATTTATTCTTGAGTCATTTTAGATAGTATATACATTTGTTGAATTTTCATCTGGGAAGATAAAAAATAATAGAAACATATATACAGTATAACAAAATAACCTTTTATTTGTATCATTATGAAAAATATTTCAAATAAGAGTAAAAACATATATCCAGTATAAGAAAAAATTACCTTAAATTTGTATCAATATACAAAAATCCATAGTAGTGTAAAATTTTTACACTAGTGGTTGTTGTACAAGTAGATTAAATAATGTACTTTTTTCTTATATCATTCCTACATCCTTCTTCTTGCTTTTCAGAGTGAGATCCCTAGGTCTAATTTCTTTTGTTTAGTTTGCTTCCTACCATGACCAATAACAACTTGTAGCCAACCCTTCTATATGATGTCAAATATCCACTGAAATATCAATAACCACCCATGCCCCTCTTGGGAATATGGATATTGTG